TGGATGTTCAAGGGTTGCAACGATGTTTTCTACCAGGGTCACTTGGCAACTGCTCTAACAACAGCTTCATTGTGAAGGTTGTTTGTTTCGAGGTGTCCGCTATCAACAGACACGCTCGACCATGAAGTCTGCCTGACAACTTTTGCGGACAGTCCTTCAAAGGGAAGGAGGAACACTTTGTAGAGCATCTTCGACTTTGATAGCACGCTCACCTGCAGTATTCTTTCGGTGCGGAGCTGTTTGATCCTTTGGCGTGTGTTGTATACCCCTTAGCCCAGTTCTACCCCTGGGTGCCCCCTGGAATTTGCAGGAAAACGTACCACCTTCTTGGCTAGTACCAGCTACGTTTGACAATCTATGTATATATAGATATATACATATTTCTCTGGCCTTGTGGCTGTTGTTTAGAGGTGTTAGGGGTACACCCTCAGAGGTACATAATGAGAGTCTTGATTTTTGGTGGCGCCCACAGCCTGATTTCCAGAGGAGTAGCCGTGTTTGGGGTGTTTAAAAAGGCAACTGAAGGGAAACCACAGTGGTGCTCCGTTTGGAGACAAACCCGGTCCGACTTTCCGAAAACAAGTCGTCCCTGTGAATCAGGCTGTTTTCGAGCACCCCCCCCCCAAAAAAAAACAACAACAAAAAACGCGGTTCTTAAACGACTGGGATTCTTTGGCTTTGGTACCCACCAAAGAATTTGAATCATATACTGTAGATTTGGCATTATCTTACCCTCTAACATGAGACTTGACTGAAGGTTTGCGGCAGACCAGTCTCACGGGTTCCATGCAAGCAGAGTCCTAAATTATCGCGAATTGCTTCAAGGAGCCGACATTCTTCTGAAAAGGCTGTCCAGAGCCCACACGTGGAACCGCGGAAGGTTTTCGAGCAGTTCCCTCCGCAGAAGCTCCGCGGAAAGCGTAGGAAGCCGTATACAATTGCTTGAACAGCCCCAAAGGGGTAAAACTGAGTTAACGCCAACGGTGAAGAGCCAAAGTTTGAACAGACGAAAAGGTGCAATACTGCGCTTTTGATCAGCCTCGGAGTCGCATGTGCAGGGATTGCAGAAAGTCTGCGAAGGCCCACGAAATGCTCCTCCGACTCCCAGGCCAGCAGTTGTGCTCTGAAAGCAAACACGTGCACGCGGAAGCAAAACCACGCCAGAGGCATGCACGCAAAGCCCGAAGCCTTTTGAAGCAGAGGCTCGCAGAAGGTTACCGTGGGGCATGCAGAAGGTACCGTTGGGAATCTGTAATCATAAAAATGGCGACATCATTTGGAACACCTCATGTGGCAGAGAGGACGCCCATTTTTTCCGCGTCGCCAGGACTTCCCAGTGGAGGGCCCTAGGGTCTCTCCACGCCCCAACTCACGCCACGGGCAGCTGCTCGCCATTTGGCCGCCGGTGAGGCCACGATTTGTCGCGCGCGCGGGGCGTGGGTTGCACCGAGCCGGGGGTGGGGAGGCTAGCCCGGATGCATCAATCTGGTCGATGGATGGGTGCAACTCCCTTGGTTAGAAATCCTGGATTTTCAAGGTTTCCTAGAAGTTGGTTTATGGTGTCGTTTCCCTTGGTGGAGAAAACTGCATAAACGGAACTTAGATGGAGGCATGGAAAGCCGCATAGGCTTTGTTTTAAATGGAAACTTTTAAACCCAAAAGAAATCAGCTGCAAACCACAAGGGTAGAGACCTGGAATGGTTTGTTCCGGCATCCCCCTTCGCAAAAGCCACTCTTCTGCCAGAGTCTTGTGAACCCCTCAAAAGGAAGCCAGAAGGGTGATCGAAGAGGCCTCCTGGCCCTCCATTCTGGTCAACTCTGGACCACAATCCTGCCCCGGATTTAGGTCCCCCAGTAGTGCCCTTTTACCCTTTTTTGGGAGGGTTCCTTAAGATAGAGTACAGAAAACAGGCTGGAGGACCTAGGGATGAAAGGCTTGGGTTCTCCCAGCTTCTGGTGCTGGCGCTTGGGAAACCCCACGGAAACCAGCAGCTCGCGCGCGCGTGAGGCGATCTGTGGAGCAAGACCTGCGCTCGGAACTGGCGTCCATGGTTCGGAGACACCAGGAGGACCAGCGATGTCTCCAGGCGCACGGAGCCAGGCAAACGTCAAGGGCACCCAGTTGGGGGCCTGGTGATTCAAGGGGTGCAGGGACTTCACTTATGTGTTTGCGGCCTTAGCAATTGCCACACGGAGCCACATAGTATGTTTCTTTGTGAAGCACGTGGTTCGTTTGAAGCTTGCGAACAAATCGGCAGGGCGTGCAGAGGTTGCTTGTGTCTTTGTCCATGCGTTCTAACATGCGTGCACAGTAGTGCATGTGGCCATGGGTGTGCACATGTGTGCTTGAGTTTGTGTCAAAGGGTGCAAGTGTGCAAGTGAGTGTGAGTGCGGGTGTGTGCGTGTGTGCGCGTGCGTGCGTGTGCATGTGTGTGTGTGTGTGTGTGTGTGTGTGTGTGCGTGTGTGTGTGTGTGTGTGTGTGCGCGTGTGTTTGCATGTGTGTGTATTTGTGGGTGTGTGGGTGTTTGTGTGCAAATGTATGCGTGTGTGGATGCTTGTGTGTGTGTGCAAATGTGTGTATGTGTGTGAGTGGGTGTTTGTGTGTGTGTGTGTGCGTGTGTGTGTGTGCAAATGTGTGTGGGTGTGTGCAAATGTGTGTGTGGGTGTGTGGGTGTGTGCGAGTGCTTACTGATGTGTTTGTGTGTGTGTGTATGTGTGATGTGCTGTGCGTGTTGTTTGTCCATTGCTTGGTTTTGTGTAGTGTTGTTTTGCGTGTGTCATATTGCGGGGCTGATTTATTACACATGTCTAACGTGTCATCGCGGCTGAAGTTGGATGTTAAAAGTACCCCACACCTGGTTATTTTTTGGGTCCTTCTAATATGTGGGTTTCTTAGTCTGTGTGGCCTTGTACAATCGCGTGTGATTGTTTGTTTATATGACTGTGGCAATTTAGGTGTTGCGCGTGTGCTTGTGTCCGTTTGTCTCTGCTATTGTGCTTGCGTGTCAGTGTGTGTGTGTGTGTGTCTGTGTGTCTGTGTGTCTGTGTGTCTGTGTGTCTGTGTGTGTGTGTGCCTGTGTGTGTGTTTGTGTGTGTGTGTCTCTGTGTGTCTCTGTGTGTCTCTGTGGGTCTCTGTGTGTCTCTGTGTGTCTCTGTGTGTCTCTGAGTGTCTCTGTGTGTCTGTGTGTGTGTGAGTGTGTGTTTGTGTCCGTGTGTCTGTGTGTGTCTGTGTGTGTCTGTGTGTGTCTGTGTGTGTCTGTGTGTGTGTGTGTCTGCGTGTGTCTCTGTGTGTCTGTGTGTGTGTGCGTGTGGGGGTGCGTGGGGGTGCGTGCGTGCGTGCGTGCGTGCGTGTGTGCGTATGCGTGTGCGTGTGCGTGGGTGTGCGTGGATTTGTGTGTGTGTGTGTGTGCAAGAGCGTTTGTTCATGCGCGTATACTTGTATCTGTGTATCTGTGTATTTGTGCGTGCGTGGTTGCGGGGTGCATGCTGCATGTGTGCATCTGTGTAGTTGTGCATTTGTGAGTGTGTCTATGCGCCTGTATACTTGTGTGTGTGTGTGTGCGGTCTTGTGCTTCTTCATGTTTGCGTGTCTTTGTGTCTGTGTTTTTGTTCGTACGTGCAGGGGAGCTTGAACCAACATTTCTACCGCGCAGGCGCCCCAATGTCCGCGTGCTAAAAGAAGGAAACTGAAGGCACCCCTCTCAAAAGTACGGCTTGGATGGTTCTGCCGACAGTTCTCCCCGGGGAAATGAACGATGAACCCCAATCGAGGGTGGCCCGCAACTCCTCTAGAAACGTTGTCCTGGGATGTCCTGGGGATGTCATGTTCGCAACAGGAACCAATCTCAAAGTTTCAAGCCTCATGCCAGGAGGTGACCACCACTGTGGCAGATGTGCGGCAACACGTGGAGCAGCTGTGCAGAGCAGCAGAGGCTCAGATTGGTCTGGAATCTGGACAAGGTATGGCGAGATCAGTTGGGAATAAGCTTCGCTCACCCATGATGAAGCTCCTTTCCTGAGGGGGCGTCCCTTTCTCCAGCTTGGACAGTATAGCGATTTGTCCTGATGGTAACCGTTGGCGAGACGTTCAGTGGCATCCTTTTTGCCTTTTGTTTTGTGGGTTCCAATTCTTTTTCTATGAAGATCACTAGACTGGGAGGACTTCCAGGTGAAATGCATGCCAACAACTGGATGCCAAAATGGGGTGAGAGGGACATGGATGTCCATGAGCGGGTGTGACTCGTCGAATGTGGATGCGGACATTGGGTTCTGCTATGTTCCCCATCCGAATAAACTTGTACCTTGGAAGGTTACATTTCACCTTCAGTGCGTTTTACATGGCTCCCTGTACTGGTACAATGTTTGGGTGGGATATACATATATATATATATACAACGTGTATGTATGTATATATAAATATATGTATAAATCTAAAGATCTTTGCTCTCAACTTGCAAAACCTCATGTTTGGCGTGGCATGGCAAGCTACCTAGGAAAGTAGTTGGAACATTACACACCTGCAAAAGTGAAGACTGCAGCACTTCACATTGTCCCATCGAATTGACAATTCCCCAAATTCATCCAGTCGCAAAATCGCGGGCCTAGTGCCACTATGTAAAAGAAACACTGGACCATTTCAGGGATGATAGTTTTGCATCTATTACGATCCAGTTGATTTAGTTGTCAGGTCTAGCGTGGCACTAGTGCCCCCTCATTGTCAATTTTTGCCACCTTTTTAGGAATCCCAAACTCATACTACCATGAATGCTTGACAACTTATAACAAGCTTATCTGGGGGGCTGTAAAATGAACTCACCTCATGATGGAGTCCAGTAGAGATTCCTTCCTTCACGCCGGTGAATATTAGTACTTACAACAGATGACTCCCTGACAATATTTTTTTTAGGGCCCCTTGCCACATTCCTTGAACCCGCCAAGACCAACAACATCTCGCTTGGCCCCTCTTGGCGCCAACGGCATTGACCCCAACCCGCCCCCGCCCCCCCCTCCTTCCTCCCGGCGCGGGGGACCCGCCCGCGCCTCCGGATGGCCTGGACGGTGCGCCTGGCGCTGCTGCAGCTGAAGCAGCGGGCGGAGCAGGAGACCAAGGGATGGGTTTTTTTCAGCTGTCGGATTTAAACCCTGAACAGAGGCCCAAGAAATGTCCTAAACCAGGGATCGTCTTGGGGAAATCACCCTCTTTTGGGCAAGCAATGTTAAATTTGCAACCTACTGTACAGGGATGGAAAGATAGTGAACCAGGGGATGCATTGAATTCGTGGTTTGGACGTCTTCTGGTTGCCAATTTTGACTTTGGACAGAAGGAAGCCTATGGGGCAACCAAGAAGTCTCAGGGAGAACTCACAACAATCATGCAAGTGGACAGGAAACAGTCTTCCAAGTTGGGAGGATAAGGGGTGGAGCCCCAAGAGAGCCTAGAATTTTCTTTGTTGCAGGATGTCGACATTGTTCCCCGCGCAATAGTTCGTGGCCAGATAGCGGGGTTGAGGTCCCAACTCCATGTTTTCAGTCCAACCACGGAGGGGAAGATGAAAACTTACTGAAAGCCTTAAACTTCCACGGGAAGTTTAATGGCAACCCATTTCATCTTTTGGATAGGTCTTCAAGGCGTTCCAGAGTAAACTAAGGGGTATCCCCTCCCTCCTCCCGTTGCATTTCAGCGGGACAGGAGCTTGGCTTCGGCATCAGCTTCGCCTCATCCCGCACCTTCGCGCTGTCGTCGTCGCTGGTGGACAACGGCCTTGCGGACGGCGAGGTGCTGCAGGTGCTGGCGCGCCGCGCCAGGCGAAGGGGGGAAGAGGTCGCTTTCGGGCTCCAAACGTCGACGAAACATGGCCATGGGTCAAAACTAAAATCGTACCCCCAAATCCCCACTAAAATAGGTTCTAAAATGGGTGGTGAATTCACCTACCCCAAAATGGTACCTTTGGCTTTGACCCACAGCCATAAAGACGGAATCTAGACAAATGAGTTCCTGTGTACCACAGATGCGGGCCAAGATATGGGCCTGATGGGCTTCTTTGAGTTTTGAGTTGGCCCCGTGTGGCTCGGCTTGAGGGACACCTTTTCATACCCTGTTGCTGGAACACAACCCAGTTCGGTAGACTTCAGGTTCAAGCTTTGTTTGGTTGATTGGTTTTGGCGTTTGGGTTCCAACCACTCATGGAACCGAGCACACAAAAAGTTTGCGAGTGGGAACCCGTCAAGACTGCTTGCAATGGAGGCTCGACTCAAAAAGTCCAAACAAGTACTTCAACCAGTTGAATTCGAAGAAACACATAAGTTTGGTGACTCGGAGCTAGTTGTGTGTCTGTGTTTTTTGCTTTGCTTGCTTCTTAGATTTGTTGATGCCGCATTGCAAACAAAGCAACCCCAAGCATATTGGGTACTCGTGAGCAAACAATTGACAATTGATGTGTTTCTGCCATCAAGAGACCTTATACCCAAAGCGTTTGGATACCAAGGCACTCTTTGTGTTGTAGATTCAGACATTCGAGTCAAAAAGCCAGTCTTTCCGGAAAGTTGCCAGGTGCACTTGATGCGTCACTTGTTGTACTGAAGATGAGTTGACCTGATGGGAAAGGACAAAATAGCATTGGAAACCGGGTTTGTGGGAGGCAGCGTGTTGAGTGGCTTTTGTTTGTTCTTCGGGGTGCATTCGGCAATCCAAGGGCTCCTTCTTGTATGTTGCCTTTTGCAAAAGGAGCCTTGCTTTCAATTGCAGGTGTGCATGAACGTCCGTGTTGTGTGTCTTGCGCATGCCTGTGTGCTTTTCCGTTGGGGTGTCGCATGAATTGATTGACATAGGCCCTAGGGGCTCCATGATAGCACCCAAAGCCAAGGCCTGTTGGCTGTGTTTTTACAGGTGGTTCTACTTGGTTCGGTACAGTCATCCCATCGAAGCCTCTATGACCATGCTGTTAGAGCCAAATGATACGTGTAGGGCACTACTGGGATCCTAGATGCAAGTCCGCAGCATTGTGCATAGAGTAGTAGTGGTATGTTGCGTGCCAAAGGGAGGCGACTACTTGTTCTGAGCTTATCCATCTAGCAATTCTGGCAGGCTGTTCTCCAGTCGCTTCTGCAGCAGCTTTGTGCTCGTACAAAGCGATGGCACAGCCGCCCGACAAAGCAGGGGCTAGAAGGGTGCGTCTTTTTTCGGGATGTCCAAGATCAAGGCATCCCCCTTGTGGCAGGATCCAGAAGGAAGCAAGAAACCAATAATTGTAGAAAGAGCGAGAGAGAGAGAGAGTAGGAATCATAGGTGGCCTTGTCTGCCAGTTTCATTGGTTTCAGTCTAGTTCGACATTTATTTGCCAACACTCAAAAACTTGCCACGCGGTGCCCAAAACCCCTGTTGGCAATTTTGGTGGTTCTGCTATATACTGGCTTGATGGAGCTTCTAAGGCCTACGGAAATACATCTATAAGCATGTCAGCAAAACCCAAAGTCCATGGGTTTTGAGAACTTGGGTGGAACAAGCCCAAGTCGTATCCCCCGGACTTTCGGAGTATTTGGGGTTCAGACCCCAAAGCTTTTCGGGGTAGGGAAAGGCTGAGGGAACAGGAAATCAAGCAAGGCCTGCATAAACCTTTAATCAGCTTGGATTCTTGGATTTTGGGTACTCAGGTGAAGGGCTGGGGGAACTGGCAAGCCTGCGCGGACATGGACTTTGCGCAGCGGCGGCTCACGGAGGTCCAACAGGTGGCCGTGGGGAAGAACGCCATGGCGGCACTGCGGGTGGACGGCACCGACGCTTGGAACCAAAAAAGGCGTGGTCAAAGGACCCTTTGTCTAGGTCCCCCAGCTAGGTGCCCTTTGACCGTTTCTTTTTTGGTTGGGAGGTTTCCCCTAGTAATTAGACTACAGAAAAAAGGGTACCCTTATTCTAACCTCTCTACTGGAGGACCTAATTGTGGTTGGAAAAGATGATCATGGATTCCTTGGTTGGCTTGTCAGGGGCAAGGGTTGGCTCTTTTCCGAACAATGAGCAAGCGGGAGGTTTGCCTAGCAGCTGGGCTCAAATTGCCTAGACGGCGGTGGGGCGCCCGGTTTGTCCGATTCGCCATTTTGTTTGCCCGTCCACTTGGGAGCCCATCACGCTCTTTCCCAGGCCTAGAGTTCTTTGCCCTTCGAGGGCCGCAGCCCGTTGTGGCCTTCGGTTTTGTTTGGTTGGAGAGGGCGCCCTCAGGCTTCAGTCCCCTCCGCTTCATGAATTGCGCTCGGTGCACCTTGTTTTGCTTTTGGGTTTGCGATGGCTTGCGCCATTGGGTGCTCACCGAGTTTTACTGTCATGCTTGGAGGCTACGCCTATTCATTTGTTGTCTGTGCAGCTCGTCCCACTCTGCCCAGAATTGTGGCGCCTCGTCCAGTTCACCTGGTATGTCTTTTCGAGGTGCTACGTGCGCCGCTCTTCACGTTCTTGCTTGCATCACAGCGGCTTACACAAGGATGTGCACCCATGTGTCCTGCTTCTTGTCGACTACCCGATCAAGGTCGCTCATTCAAACCTCACGCCATTTTGGGCCGGAAACCGTTATGCCGATCCAATATGATCCCCGTCATTTGGATATCTATATTGTAGTTTGCTTGTACTTGATCAAGCTGACAGGGGGCTTTGTTGCTCTTACTTTGGCAGATTGCACCAAAGCTTCCTACGGTGCGTTTCGATTGGAAACGGTCAGGCAGTGCGGCCTGCGCTCCTTGAGCTCCTTGTGCTCCTTGAGACTCCTTGTGAGCTCCCTGCACCGATTGCCTGCCTAGCCAAGTAGGCCGCCCCTTCCACAGCCCGTGGTTGGCTGTTTTGACTCTACGCATCCATATGACTCAAGGCCTGCGGGCGGAGTGTTTACACATGCAGTGCCGCAACTGCGCCGCACCCGAGCCAGACGGACATCGACGCAGACCCGCCAAACGCGCGGAGCCTTGTTCGCAATTTCTTTTGCCCCGCCACATGCCCAGGCATGTTTTCCCGCGCGTCCACGCACGTTTCCTCACAGGCGTGCTGCCTTTCATTTAGTGTCCGTTTTACTGACGCTCTCTCTAAACTTCCTTCAAAAAAAGTAGGTTTGAACATATTCTTCCCACTTTCCCTTTTGTGCCTTGGGTAGGAAGCCCAGGGTTGGGATGCTTTGGGTCCCCACCCTGCTCGAGGTGGTGTCCTGGGGTGACTGCGAGTCACCTGAATCCTGCGGTCTGCAGGAGACGGACTTGCAGGATGTCCAGGAGCCAAAGCGGTGGGAGTGCAGGGAAGGCGTTTGTGTGTGTGTGTGTGTATGTGTGTGTGTGCGTTTGTTTGTTTTTTGTTGGGTGCCTTTTTTCAATTAACTCTTATATAATTGGTGCTCTAGATTGGTGGCTTGGGGTTTTGAACCCTTGGCTCTTGTAGAGACTAAATGGGAAACCACATGACACACACACACACACGCACAATACACACTCCACTGTCAAATGGAACCCAAAGCCACCATCGTTTTAAGAGTTGTCTCCAAGCTTTTGGGGACCTAGCTTTGCATTGCACATTGGCCAAGTTGCATTTTGACCTTTTGAATTTTGAACCCCCATCCAAAAGCTAAACCCCTTTCGTTGGTTGAAAGGGAACCCAAAGCCATCATATTTTTGGGGACCCCGGATTGTCTAAAATTGGGGAAGCCTTAAAAATGTGATTTCCCTTGAGCTTCCCTTTTTTTGCCGCCGCAAAGAGGTACCCTCAAAACAATACACACCGTGGGGTTTTCAGGGCAACGACCAAGTTACACAATAATCACCGGCATGGGAACCCCTCTTTAGCATCACAAGAGTAATTTCCCACAACCACGACACGCCCACCCCTAAAAGGGGTGTGTTTTTTGGGAACCCCTTTTGGTTGCCCCATATGAGTGTGTCTTTTTGGGAACCCCCCTTTTGGTTGGTTTTAAGAGGTTAAACCAAAAGGCAAGACACGACGTTCGCAGGACATCGCTGCCTCCATCCACGCCTTCGCTGCGTTGCGGCGCGATGGCCAGGTGCGCACCTGGGGCTGGCCCAACTATGGCGGGGACAGCTCGGAGGTGGGGCAAAATATGCGTCCTTGTTCGAGGGTTGCCTTTTTAGGCGGGGGGTATTTTCAAGGGAGACAACAGGAAACCTGCCATTTCAAGGGTTACCCTATTTGTGTGAACAACCCATAGGCGGCCCAAACTGGGGTCTGTTGAAAGTGAAGACAACATATGGAACAGAATCTGAACATATGATCTTCTGTGCAGCCCTTTTTTGCGAGCAAGAGTGTACAGGGAAGCCAAAAAGAGGTTGAAACACCAGGTGCATAAACCATGGTTTAAGCGAAACTTGGATTGCCCCTTGTGGCAGGTGCGGGACCAGCTGGTGGATGTGGTTCAGGTTGTGGCATCCTTCTATGCCTTTGCAGCTCTGAAACGAGACGGTTCTGTCGTGACCTGGGGCGCAGCTTGGCAGGAATCAGTTTGGAAGCATTTGTCACTTTGGGTTTGTCTTTGTTTTGTGTGTGTGTTCGACGGGCATCCTGTTCCCCTTGGTTTAAAGGGAAATCAAACAGTAAAAAAGAAAATCATTTTGCGGATCCCCTTAGTTTAACACATTTTTCTTGGCCGGAGGAGCACTTGCTGAGACCAGGCTCGAATTCTGTTGCAGATTCCAGTGATTGTCAACTTCCTCCCCTGTTTCTCGATTTGTAAGCACAGTCTGATACATGCCCCGTTGGCCGCTGAACCGCTGAAAACAGCCCAAGGAATCCTGAGTTTGACTTGGCTTGCCGGATAGCGCTTTCCCGCAGCGACAGCTGGGTCAATCTGCCAATGGATTTGGGGCAGTCTTAGGTTGGAGGTCCCAGGTTGCGGGAACTCTCCGGGTGAAGACTCGAACCCTTTAGAAACCCACTTGGGCGGCGGTTCGAAGTCCGAGCGATGGGCCAACGCTCCATCTTCAACAGCCCAGACTTTCTGCTGGAAAGGTGTGTGTGTGTGCACCCAGCAATTCTGGGAGGGCCCAGGTTGTGGAAAGGTTCCTGGGCGGGATACTTGGGCTTATTTGTTCATATTGTGTGTGTGTGTTTGTGTGTGGTTCAAATGTGTTTTTTGGGGCCCAACAATTGCTGTTTCCCGCTTGGTTTTTCTTCAAACAGGACCTAAGAGGGCGAAAGGGTAGCACACCTGTATCTCTATCGGGTTTCGAGGTTTGGAGAGTGCCTATGGTTCCACGTTGAGTCACAGGAATGTGACACCTTGGTTTGCTTTTGCATTATCTTGCTACCCAAAGAGAACCCCCCGCCCCCGATATTTACACCTATGTTGGTTGAGCCAAACTTGTATCATAAGGGCACCCTTAACAAAGCCATAATATATTACATCTGTCTATGAAATTTGATAGGGAATGTTGGTGGACATGAATCCCCCAATGATGCCCTCCATGTCGGGTCCCTCGCCTCGCTCAAATGTTCACACCCACAAAGTTATGACCCACCATAAAGTCAATACCCAACGAACCAACCAACCAACACGACCAACCAAGCAACACAACCAATCAACCATCACAACTAGCCAACCAACACAAGCAATCAACCAATCAACCAACACAACCAGCCAACCATGAGGCTATAACCTTAATCCACGTTGGTTCACCTAGGAGGCGCATTGCGGGGGTGACAGCCAGCGCGTCCAAGCGGAGCTCCGCGCCGTGCGGCTGCTGCGCTCCACGGCTCGCGCCTTCGCGGCGCTGCGATGTGACGGCACCGTGGTGACCTGGGGCCATCCGGTGGCCGGGGGCGACGCTGGTCACGCAGGGTGCGGCTCGTTTGCGGGGGGCGGCTTCAAGGAGTTCCTCTAGTTCATGGCTTCTGTGGTTCCAAAAAGGGCAGGGGCCAAAAAGGAGGTTCCTCGAATGGTTTCTGGGGTTCCATGTTAATCTGGAGGGTACGTTAACGTTGGCTTAAGGGGAATTAGAAAACACAAGGAGCCAGTTCAACACACGCACACACACACAAACACACACACACACACACACACCCACCCACCCACCCACCCACCCACCCACCCACCCACCCACCCACCCACCCACCCACCCACCCACCCACCCACGCACCCACGCACGCACGCACGCACGCACGCACGCACGCACGCACGCACGCACGCACGCACGCACGCACGCACGCACGCACGCACGCACGCACGCACGCACGCACGCACGCACCCACACACACACACACATAAACTCCAGATGGAGAGTGCTAATCTTTCGAGTACAACTGATGAGTCTCGAGTACAACTGATGAGTCTCGAGTGGGTGTGGGTTCTGCTCGCGATGTACTCGGCTTCCCTCTAGCAGCGAACACGTTACCTGAAAGAACAAGAAGCACAAACAGCGCCGCAACCAAGGGGGCCAAAAGGACTTTGCATCACACGAAATGCACAGGTACGTCGAGGTGATCAGCCTCGATATCACAGGACAAGTGCGGCGTCTTCGTTGGATGCCGACCGCACAGGTCCCCAGCATCCCCCTGCGGTAAAAGTGAAAGCCTGAAGTTGGTGACAGGGTATTCTGTCACTCCGCACACACACGCCCCTCAAAGAGGGGCGAGTACCACTTTTTCGGGGGGAGAAAAAAACACGCGCCCCAAAACCGGGCGAAGACCCCAACAGAAAACAAACGGAGCAAGGGAGCCCAAAAGAAACAGAAAGGCCCCAGGTTGGGTCACCGCGGGCAAAACCCCAAACAAGAAACAAGAACAACGGGGAAGCCAAGGGCAACAACCCCAAACAGCGCAAAAAACGACCTAGACCTTGTAGACGAAAGGGGCCGCGAAGGCAAAGAGGCAGAAGAGGAACAGGCCATCCCTAACCGGGCGAACAGGAAGTACAAGAGATAGCCCAGAGAGGGAAAGAAAAAGAAAGGAAAGAAAAGAAAGGGACGAAAGAGAGAAAGAAAGAGAGAGAGAGAGACAGACACAGAAAGAGAGAGAGAAAGAGAGAGAGAGAGAGACAAAAGCGTATTTAGGGCGTCGCAACCGCCCGGGGGGAAAAAGAAAGGAGCAGGGTGCGTATTTAGGGCGCCGCATCCCGCCCGGGAAGAAGGAACAAGAAGCAGAAGGCAAGGAGACAAAAAGGAGAAAAGAAGGAAGAAGGAAGAAGGAAGAGGAAGAGGGAAGTAGTAGTATGCGTTTTTAGGGCGACGCATCCCGCCCAGACAGGAACAGAGGATGAAGACCAAGGCTCGCGGAGGAAGACGTCGAATCCCACACAGGGGCCAAGAGGACGGACACGAAGTAGCAACGGAAGGGGAAGAAGGCGACAAGCCAAACTACGTGAGGAAGAAGAGGAGTAGGAACAGGAAGACAGACACGAAGACGAAGACGAGGAAAAAGGTGAACAACGCAAGGACAACCAGGCCATCCCTAAGCGGGCGAACAGGAGGGGGACGAACGCGCGGGTCACGAAAGGCAGCAAAAAGAGAACGGGAGGAAGGAGAAGCCATCCCTAAGCGGGCGAAGAACCAGAAGACGGGCACGCGGATGAAGAAGGCGAGAAAAAAGAACGTAGGGTGAGACGTCGCTATGATCTGACGGCTATCTTCCCTTTAGTGAAGCCTCGTTCCTGGTTAAATGTGAAATTCCGCTGTTCTATGATAAGCACGTTGAGGTCAAATTTTCCGACAAAGCCGGCCCGGGGTCACACAATGGGTACACCCGAGGATTCCCCACGAATGGGGTGTACACACTTAAACTCCAGATGGAGAGTGCTAATCTTTCGAGTACAACTGATGAGTCTCGAGTACAACTGATGAGTCTCGAGTGGGTGTGGGTTCTGCTCGCGATGCACTCGGCTTCCCTCTAGCAGCGAACACGTTACCCGAAAGAACAAGAAGCACAAACAGCGCCGCAACCAAGGGGGCCAAAAGGACTTTGCATCACACGAAACGCACAGGTACGTCGAGGTGATCAGCCTCGATATCACAGGACAAGTGCGGCGTCTTCGTTGGATGCCGACCGCACAGGTCCCCAGCATCCCCCTGCGGTAAAAGTGAAAGCCTGAAGTGTGTGACAGGGTATTCTGTCACTCCGCACACACACACACACACCGCTAGCGCGTTGCAAAGATCGCTCCCAACCTTTCCTGCACCTTTAGTGCCCCGTTTTGGACAACGAGCACCCAGATACCTTGCCAGACTTGCTCACATGCATATTCACAGAGCCTAAACAAAATCACCATGAGTAGAGGAATCTCCTTTTGAGGCGCTTTGCAGGGAAGCAACTAACCTTCTTGCGTTGCGCCCTTTGGGATTCCTTCATATTCCCTAACCAGCAAGTGCTATTCTTCGGCAAAGGCTATTCCCCTGCAAATTAACCGAAGGAACTCCAAAATGGGGGCCCTTGTCCCAAAAACGAGGTTCCTCTACAAAGGGTTTTTTGGGCTGCCTTTCCAACCATCCAACATGATCGTTGTGGCCCTTGTCACTAACCACAGAGACTTTACTTTTGTGACTGAAATTTGACACGGAACCACAAAAAGCCGACCACAAGGATTGAAGCCAAACCAGAAGGAAAGTGTCGCCATTTCGGGGCTTTGGAGATAAACCCAAAGGGGCGCCCTGTCACCAACAATTTCAGCAACCCTAAGGGTCCCTTGGTACCTTCTAAGGAATTACTTTAACACCAGTTAGCACCCCAAGAGCCATCAACAGTTACTTGGACCTTTCGGGAATTTGGAGACAACCCTCCCTTGCCATGGAACCAGGCGGAAGACGATGTTACTCTCAAAGGCATGGTTCTGTTGGAGGCTTCCAATGTGTTTATCGTTGCGTTCTTGGCTCCAAATCTGCAATCCAGTATGCGAGGTTTCTACTGGTGAGTTAGGGCAGATGCCTGGTTGACCCTGGATTCATGGATATACAACTGGGAGAATACATGGACACATGTGGAAGTATGTGGGACATGTGGGATCAAATGTCGTACAAAAAGCGGAAATACATGGCAACGTGGGGAAATATGAGGAAAGTAGAGGGTAGCAGTTGGCACATGTGAAATGCATAAATTGGCAACCAGGGATACTGAGTGAGAATCGGCGCGAGGAAACGCCCAATGCGGAAGAGCAGGGAAGCAGTATAGGGCGAAAGCTGAGGACAGCAGCCATGTGCTGCTGCAAGGCAGGGTCGGCCACCACGCCTCGTCCCTTGAGGGATTCTGTCCAACCTTTCGAGAAAAAAAAGAGAAAAAGATGCGGTTTAGGTAATTTAATTTGAGACATGACCTTTTGGGCCAGAGCAAGAGGACAAAACCATTTGGGTGGCAATGTTCAGGTGGATAATGTACGAACCCCGATGAAGCAAGTTTTCCAGCCGTTTCCCTGGGCTTGTAAATCGGGCGGTTTGAGCGGTCCTTGGGTTCGAAGCAGCCTCACAAGAATCCCAAATAACCCAGCGCAAGGGAGGTATGGTTCCTGTGGAGCCCAACCGTTTGGATTGTTTTAGTTTGGGTTTGCCATTTTGGGGCACCCTTGGACAATTGAAGCAACATCCACAATTCACTTCCTGGTGTTTACGAGTTTACGATTTTAAGCCATGGCTTATGATGCCACTTTGGGGGGTCCTTCGGCAGGGTCGCTCCAAATCGAACCTCAAGATTGACAAACCCACTGGGGCAGAAAATCGGTATTGGTATATTGGGCCGTTGTGTTTTCCTTTCCAGGCACCTGACTTCTACTCTTCTATTCTGTGTCTATGGAGCCCGGAGCACCCCTGCTTCACTGTGGTTGTTCAAAGTCAATCACTAATCCTGCCAGATGCTCGTGTTTTCCCTTGTGTCCTACGGATTGAATGGCTTGGAGGAGTGTTTGGTGATTTGGGTTAGGACCCCCAATCTCGAAACCCGTCGGGGCCAGAATCCAAATGGCCATGGCCCCAGTGAACATCCCAATCCCCACTAAAATAAGTTCTAAAATGGGTGGTGAATTCACCTATCCCAAATTGGATCCCAAAACGGTTTTGACAACCGGTTCTCTTGAAGCGGCTTGGTTCACCACAGCCCAATGCTCCACAGGGGTCGTCGACGTGTCCAGCACCCGAGCCGCCTTTGCAGCGCTGCATG